AATTGTTTGTCTATCCCAGCTGATTTTATTTTGGCTGTTTGGTCAAACTTGTGACCATGTGCAAGTCATTTGGCCTTTCTGAACTTGAGTTCTACCATCTAACAATGGGATTGAACTCAATGATTGTTAATTTGCCTTCTAGCCTTAAGAGTTAGTGGTACTTATATTGCATTTAACGAGCAGTTTCATAATTTTCTTTTATGAAATAGACTAATAATCTCTACTTTTAAAATGTCATATACCACTAGTTTGAGTAAGTGGACTTATCTGACTTGATTGGTTAACCAGGACTTTTCTGCCAATAGGAAGAAGAATTTATCTCATAAATCATAATGCAAACCTAAGAACTGTCCCCCAGCAGGACTTAACCCTCCACTTTGAAGATAATAAAGTGACAAGGAGAAGCAAAAAGGGCTAGAATTTTTTCAATTGATAAGAAAACATGCTGGCGCATATAAACATGAAAGAACAACTCAGAAAGATGCCTTTCAAAAATTTTTTTGATGAATTGTTTGTTTGATGGAAAGATTCAGAAACAAAGCAAATTTTGTGCTTCTTTGATTATATTTTGATTTTAAATGGAGTAGATGAGAGTAATGGCCCAGGGGTGAGTAGAGATCAGGGGCACATGTGAGTTTTGTGGGACCTGAATCTTGTATGATTTAGGGGAGCACTTTTTAGGAAAATAATATGAACACAAAACTAGGTATAGAGCCTTGGAATAAACTCATGCAAGTGAGGAACCTTGGGATGAAGCTTCATTAGCTTTGTAGAAAATCCTTCTATGGTTGAGATAATTTTTAAAATACTCTCCATATAGCTAGGAACACAGACACACTACTATAAGAGATTCTACACTGAGAGACTGAAAGGTCAGGGAGAGAAATGAAAACAGGAGGACGCAAAGAGGCCAATAAAATGCCAAGGAATTACAGGGAGTTTACTAGGTGGTGTTGTGCAACATTCAGACAGAATGTCAGATGTGTACATGATTTTCACACACAAGAGTTGTCTTTTAGATGCCAGAGGTACCCAGGGCCACATGGACCTTTTATGTGGTTTTCTTGCCAGAATCTAAAAGGAGAGATAAGGATCGATAGCGTCACAGCTGAAGTTACTGTATGCTCTCCTGGTTTCTACTGATTTTGTTTTGTTTGATGTGCATCTTCAGCATGGGCAACACAAACAACTAGCACAATTCATCTGCTATCCATCCCGTGCCTTCTTTTTATTTTTTCTTATAATCTGGATTGATTCTTAGCTGTCAAAATAATGCTATGTCTCAATCGGGGAATTAAAACACACGTAGAACATTTTAAACTTTGGAAACATTTTGACTTTTATCAAATTTTATCAAATTTTATCAAATTTTATCAAATTTTCTACAACTATTTTTAGATACTCCAAAGTGTGGGGTTAAATTAGACTGATGATGTCCCTTTTAAACTCTGAAGCAATAGAAAAAAGAAGGCCTGAAATGGTGCCAACTCTCCAGACTGACCAGGGCTGTGGAGAATACTAATTTTACAGGGTGTGGTTGATTTGGATGGTCTTGTTACCAGTCATAAGAATCTTTAGCAAACATTCAGCAGCTGACCACCTGCATTTAAACTGGAAAAGAAAGATTGTTAGAAGCTTTTGTGGTGCTATCACAATCCAGGAACAAATTTTTCATGATAGAAAAGATGGTACCTTTACAGGATGAATTAATGAAACTCACAAAACAGAACCTAAACAACAAATATCTAAGATTTAAAACATTTTACCAGAAAATGAGCAACAAAATATATTGCAGATCAAATGCAGATGGGCTAAGAGTGGAGGTTTCAACAGCAGATTGGCAGAATAGTTTGGTAGACATGGTAATAGGTTCTCTCTGTCCTGAAGAGAAGCCAGAGCGGGGGAGGAGGGCCAATTTCTCTGAAGATTGGCACTCAACTCCTCATAATAATCAATAAAAACAATGCTGGATGCCTAATGTCTGGTTTTGTGAGACTGTCCAATGTGCCTTAGGCCAAGATACTCATGCAGCACAAAGGGAGTATCAGAAAGGCAGGAAAACCTCTTGACATCCCTGCCCTAATGCTGGGGAGAAGCAGAGCCTCTCACTATACCTTCCAGTCAACCCCCACACCCAACCTTTCAACACAGCCCAAACAGAGGTGAGCCCAGGCAGGGCAAGGGCATTTTCCAATATAGACATAGGTTGGACACTCAGCAGAAGAGAACTGAGCAGCATCCATAACTATAGTTGAGAAGGAAATTCAGTTACCTCGTATGTAGTGGTTTGTACGTTTATGAGGCTAAAATAGGGAGTAGCTTTCTCTCTTTATTTCTTTTATATAGTTATTTATTTTTTGGA